CTTTGGTTTCTGAATGTTTTGGAAGTCAAACAGACTTCCGGAATGGATTCCATTCGAATTCCAAGGTATGACTGTATATAATATAAGTACAAATACTTGGCAATCATATTTAATGATTTCTATGCAATTTTGCACACGTTTTACCTACTATTTTGAAATCCCAAGTCATGTTACAACTTTTTAGCACCCCTCATTTCCTCAGCAAGATGACCTTCTCACAGCATAAAGTCCAGAGGGCTCATGTCAGGTGCCCAATCATGTGGTGCACTTGAAGCCAGCCCTACAATCATTACAATTGTCCTGGGCCCACCCTCCTTAACCCTAATTCCACATGTCTATGGACTAAAGGTAAAGGTAAAGGGACCCCTGACCATTAGGTCCAGTCGTGACCAACTCTGCGGTTGTGGTGCTCATCTCGCTTTATTGGCCGAGGGAGCCGGTGTACAGCTTCCGGGTCATGTGCCCAGCTTGACTAAGCGAACCAGAGCAGTGCACAGAAACGCCGTTTACCTTCCCACTGGAGCGGTACCTATTTATCTACTTGCAATTCGATGTGCTTTCAAACTGCTAGGTTTGCTTTAGCAGGGACCGAGCAACGGGAGCTCACCCCGTCACGGGGATTCAAACCGCTGACCTTCTGATCAGCAAGTCCTAGGCTCTGTGGTTTAACCCACAGCGCCACCTGTGTCCCGGTCTATGGACTACCAGAGAGCAAAACAATGTTACTTTTGTACTTGGCTGAGGCCAGCCTTGCTCAAAGAAAAGTAAATTTCTGCACAACTTCCTAATGTATGGCAAAATGTTTTCCTTCACAGGCAGTGCTGGTAGACAAAGAACGATTTCATACAATGCTCTTGCAAACAAGACATATTGACATAGCTCCTTAAAAGATGTGAACTGTGACATTTTATCATGAGCCAGTGTGAAGGAAGATGTAGAAGAAGGTAAAGGCAGTGGGGAAACAGAAATCAGTTGCATTTTTCCAGGTTCGGCACGCTGACCCAAAAACAGGCCAAGAAGATTAGAAATGTTACCGTGTTTACTTCTTTGAACTTATTTGGAACTTACTGGTATTGTACAGCTGTCAGCATCTCGAGATGTGAATGCCACATTGCCCAGGTGAAGAATAGCAGCAAGGATCTGAAATATTCCCATCTGACAGGAATCAACAATACCTATCATATTGGGTGGGAGTGGGGGAGAGAAAAGAAATCAGTATTCCTTTTGCTGCGATTAAAATGCAAATGTCCAATTAAGCCATGTGCAATTAAGCATCTGAACAAGGATGACAAGGACAACAAAAAAGTACTAGCCATTGTGTGGAGAAAATGTCATTCAAACTCAATCCTCAGTGAATATCTGCTGGCATCTCATCAGTAAAAAAGCCTCCCTAAGGAGATTTGTATAGTGAGATATTATCTATTATCTCCTTTCGCATCAGCTACTATCTTGAAATGCACATTTAGTGCCAAGATGGGAAACCTGTGGTCCTTCAGATCTCACTGGACCACAGCTCCCATCTGACTGGGCCACTGGCCATGCCATCTGGGCTGGTGGGGTCCAACAACAGATGCTGGGCCACAGGTGACCCAACACTGTTGCAAGCTGTCGTGCAAACTAAAGGTGTTGCAATAACATCTCAGTTGTTAATTACTCAGAGAATTGCCTTAATTTCTTGCTATACCCATATTATATATCAGAACACCCAGACAGGGTTCATTATATATGAGAATATTACTTTTCTATGTTTACCTTAAATTTTTAAAGGGAATTTTACCACATAAAAAAACCAGCTGCATAAATCTACTACAGTGGAACCTAAGTTTTCGAACACCTCAGAAGTCAAATGTTTTGGTTTTCGAACAATTTTTGGAAGTCGAATGTGCCACACGGCTTCCGCATTGAGTTTTCTGCAAGTACAGTCATACCTCGGGATAAATACGCTTCAGGATGCGTATTTTTCGGTTGCGCTCCACGGTGACCTGGAAGTAACGGAGCGCATTACTTCCGGGTTTCGCCATTCTCGCATGCGCAGACGGTCAAAATGACGTCACGCACGTGCACAGAAGTGACAAGATGCGACCCGCACACACACGCAGTCGCGTCTTACGTTCTGTTCAGGATGCGAACGGGGCTCCGGAATGGATCCCGTTCGCATCCCGAGGTACCACTGTAAATGCTTCTGAAAATGAATGCTTTGGTTTTCAAACATTTTGGAAGTCAAACAGTCTTCTGGAACGGATTACGTTCGAAAACCGAGGTTCCACTGTACATGTGTATTCCCCAGTTAACATGTAGAACCCAGAACACCGTCTTACATTTATTAAATGCCTAAATTAAAGACCAGGCCATATATGACAAAAAAGATAACTTTTTAAAAAGAAAATGCAACTAAAAAAAGGGTCCCCTGAAGATTTTAAGAGCAAGCCAGCATGACAACAGAGAGAAGAGACATCAAAACTCAACACAAAAAGTACAAAACTTGTTTACTCATAACCAGAAATACAATAAGTAAGTCTGAATGCTAATTAAAATACGATAGGTTTGGAAAGGAAGATATGACTATCCAGTACTAAATTACATACATAAAAGTGGCCAAATTGCTCACAACACTATGTCTGTCACCTGTCTCTCATTGGCCGGCTTGCTGTGATGTCATTTATGTCACAAATATTTTCACTGTTCATGGTAAACCTGTCAGGAATGTGGACACACAGAATGAAAGAATAGGAAGGGCTGTATGCGCTTCTTAGGAAGGAAGCGGACGAGGTTGCTTTGGGAAACATGGGATTACAGCCCAAGAAACAGAGGACAGGTAGGCCAAGAAATAGGGAGAGGCTGAATTATACAGATGGATTTGAACTAACTAAATCATTGGCTACAGGTCTCTAGTCTAAACACACATACTAGAATGAATTCAGGAAAGGATCATCAGAACAAGGATGGGGAACCTGTTGCTCGACTCCCATCATCCTTGACCACTGTCCATGCTGGATGGGGTTTATTGGAGTTGTAGTCCAACAACTTCTGTAGGGCCCAAGGTTCTCCATCCCTGGGTTAGCCAAATGCCTGAAAAAGATTTGTCTCCTTTTCGTCTGTTTATTATTAAATACTGTTTTGCACTCCAATTCTATTCCCACTTATCAGGGTGAAAGCCCCAGTGAATTCTGTGGTGCAAAAACACACAGGATTGTGCTGGTTATGCTGGAAGCTGCCCTGAACCTTTGTATGAAGAGCTGGGATAATAAGCTTTCCAATAAATATGTTGTAAACCACTCTGTGATCTTTGGATGAAGGGTGGTGTACAAATTAGATAGATAGATAGATAGATAGATAGATAGATAGATAGATAGATAGATATAGATAGATAGACAGACAGACAGAGCCTGCCACAAGCTGGTTCAGAAATTCATGCTTCATAAAGGGGTATTTTAATTACCCAATAAAAAGGCTGAAACGCTCAAACTTACTTAAAATACAACTCCTATGGCTTCTCAATGCACATCAACTGAAGCATTCAACAGCATGTATGCCACTGGCATGGTGAAGCACAGCAGTTTGTAAGTGTTCACCTTTTAAAAATTAATGCTGTGGGTAATAATGTACTACTAGGGCACAGTAGCCACCGTTTCAAAGTCCTGAAGAAATTCATGTGCTTCCAGGACTTACCCAACAAAGTGCAAGCCCGCCTGGTGTTCATCATCTCCTTGGCATCATCAATTCCATCAATGACTGGACTGCCTCCTTGCATTGTATAGTGAAAATAGCTTGCATTTCCTAATATAAACAAGCAAGCAAAAGTTTCTTTACATACAAAGAAGAAATGCATTCTACAAAGATGTTTTAACTCTTAAAAGACTAAAAGAAACACCAGCAAAATGAATAATGCTGTGTTCAAGTAAAACTGATAAGCCAAACTTTGTGTTAGCTATTACAGGGATTTATACCCCCCTTTTGTAGGCTGAAGGCAAGATACAAGAGATGTCTGCTATTGAAGACATTTTGTTCCAATAAGAATTTCCAGCTGTATAAATAGGTATTACCAAGAATGTTCATTTGCTAGGGTTTTGGTTTTATTTTAAATGTGCTTGTTGTTTTGTGCTTTTAACTGTTTTTAATTATTTTAGATGTAAATCACCTTGAGATTTACCTTAAGATGGTTTAGAAGGCAATTAATAAATCAATGGTAATACCAATGGTAGCAACAACAGCAACAACTAAAGTTTTAAAAGGAAATTTAAAGCAATGTTTCAAACGAAGATTTTCTCTTACAGAATAGGGGTTTATTTGTTTTTACCTCACTGTGTTTTAATTTAGCCATAATAAGCAATATAATACTAACTACAACACTGTGTGCTCAAATATATCAGCTGCATGTAACACACCCAGAAGGAAATTTCATTCACCTTTATAGATTTGCAATTTTGCGTGCTCTATTTTCAAAAGGCATATTTATAGAAACTTAAGCAATTATTTAAAACCCATTACTAAAAACATAGTAATGCTACTTTGGAACGTGTCATGTGAATAATAAAATGGAGCAGATGTGCATTCATACCTAACCGCAAAGTTTTAAATTCAGGTAACGTTGCAGAAGCACAGAGCTGGTAGAAGATATGATAATTTCTCTCTTCTTCTGCCTTTAATAAAATGAAATAAAAGATATCTATAAACACATAAATACCTTTACACACACACACACACACACACACACAGAGAGAGAGAGAGAGAGAGAGAGGAGAGAGAGAGAGAGAGAGAGAGGATTCCATTTTGTACTTTAATGAAGAACTGAATGGACACTGGAGTAATAGGAATAATGTTAAACGCTCCAGGGACAAACATATATTAATTCAGCAAAATACTTCCCTTATTTCATTTGCTCTGCAAGCCTTCTAAAGGAAAAAGGTCACCAGCTGTCAATTAACGTAATGAAGGGAAACTTATAGCCCTCCAGATATTGTTGGACTACAACTCCCATCATCCCTAATTACTGGCAATGGTGGCTGGGGCCGATGGGATCTGGAATCCAACAACGTCTGGAGGGTCACAGGTTCCTTTTCCCTGGATTAACAGGTACAAACTGCAGGATTTATCAGCCTCCCATTGTATCCCATATGGAGGAACTGGAGATGATGGAGAAGGGGAGGGAGGGGATGTCACCCTCGGTATTTCTGTACAGAACCCTCCTCCTCCTTCCCCTAGTCCAGGGATGGAGGACCTGCGGCCCTCCATATTTTGTTGCACTTCAACCTTCATCAGCCCCAGCAAGATGGGAATTGGGAGTCCACCAACACCTAGTGTCACGGGTTATCCATCTCTTCCTTAGTCTTTCAGGACGTACACACTGCCTGAACACTCCCTCTACCCCTTTCTAGTATAGCTGAAGTGGAGGGGAAATGTTCTTGCTCATTTCCCCTGGCTGCATGAACTGAAGCACAGTTCCTGGTCTGGCAAAATAGTCCAGCTTTCAAGGAGTAAAGTCCTTGTTATCTTTCTCTATTTCTCAGTAACATCACATTTCTAAGGAACTCATTGTTTCTCCTAAGTATGCTAGATGGACGTGCAGCGATTCTGCGTTAAGTAGCTGGACATGACACATTACTGTTCAATATTTCCAAAGCAACCATTCCTTGCCCTCCATGGATGCTAGGTTATGTAAGCATGCCATCATGTATCGACTCACAATGGAACTCCTACATGGACAAGCAAAAACAAGTTTGCATTCATTTTACCTGAAATACCACTCGTGATTTTTCTAAGAGGTAAGTTCTCATGTTGGCACCAAGGATTCGAAACCTTTTATCAAAACCTATTTCAATGTACTTTCCGAAGCGGCTACTGTTGTCGTTCCGTGTGGTTTTGGCATTCCCAATAGACTGTGAGAGGGAAAACAAAAAGTGATTAACAATTTGAGGCTGCAACCTTATACACACTTACCTGGGGGTAAGTCCCACTGAACTCAATGAGGCTTTACTTTTGAGTGGACATGCAAAGGATTGCACAGAGTTTTCCTTATTTTGCAAAGGTTTTTTTAAATTTCAGATTTTGTAGAATTTGGGGGGCGTTGTTTGTTTATATCAATACAACAAACACAGGCAATAACAACAAAAAACCAAACAATAATAAAACCAGAATGAAGGGGGAAAGGAAAGGAAAAGCGGGCGAGGAGGCAGTCAATATTCAGCTTTCCCGGTTAAGAACCTACCTGCAGCATTAGAGAAGATAGCTGAATTACATTACAAGAAATTACCTGAACCACAAATGAAGCCTGATGACTATTAAATATGGATTTTCACTCTGGCTGTGATGTTTAATATAATCATTGGCTACATGACTTAATTAGCTAAACTTATTTTAATTTAATGGACTAAAAACGTGTGCCGGATTCATCAAGCAGTTAAAAAAACACACCAAGTACTTATGAAAACTGTAGGTTCCACCCTTTTTTCTCAGAAACATACTTCCAAGATAAGTCTGCTTTGACACATGCATGCATTATTTAAAAAGAAATGCTTCTTACTCTAGAACTATTGTTTTTACCAATATATACATTTAATCAGTACATCATTCCATTAACTGACTAAACTCATACGATTAAGAAATTTAATCTAATTATTCCACCCTGTGGAACACCCTTCCATCAGATGTCAAGGAGATGAGTAACTATATAACCTTTAGAAGACAACTGAAGGCAGCCCTGTAAAGGAAAGCCTGTTAATGTGTAATGTTTAATATATGTTGGAAGCCGTCCAGGGTGGCTGGGGCAGCCTAGCTGGATAGGCAGGATATAATTAATAATAATAATAATAATAGTTGTTCAGTCTGCAGCCCCATTTTTGTGAATAATGTCTCCTCTCTTCAAAAATACATTAATAAATGCACACATGTCATTTACAGACTCAAGCAGACCTCTTTATGTGGGAAGAAAAAAGCAGTAAATATGAAAGCAATTCATTAAAAAAACATATAGACAGCAGTATGCAAGAAGTCCCTTTCTTAAGATGAGTTTCCTACATGTATTTCTGTTGCAACTACCTGCATGTTAGTGGCACTCTATGGCACAAATCCACAAACTAATACTACTTTCTAAGCCACTTGCCTTATTCCTGCACCTGTCAAATCGGAGTTGCAGGGGGAGCATATCACAAGAAGCATAATATGACACAAATTGGTTAAATATAAACTTTTGAAGTAGTGGGGACATCTTTGTAAGGACCATAGCTTAGTGGGAATGCATTTGCTTTGCACACAGAAGCTCCTAAGTTCAGCCTTCCGCCTCCTATCTCTGGATAGGACTGGGAGAGACCTCTGTCTGAAATCCTGGAGAGCTTCTGCAAATCAGTCTAGACCAGAGCTTTCCAAACACTTCATGTTGGTGACACACCTTTTAGACATGCATCATTTCGCGACACAGTAAGTCAGTTTTACTAGCAAACCAGAGGTTAAACTAACCCCTTTCTAACCCCAGGAGGAATCTGGGAAGCATTCACAAGACACCTACACGCTGCAGCCGACACACTAATATGTCGTGACACACAGTTTGGAAAGCTCTGGTCTAGACAGTACTGAGTCAAATAAACCAGTGATCTGATGCAGTATAAGTTTCCTATGTTCCTAATGCACTGGATTACTCGTTCTGTGCCTTGGTACCTGTAACCCTCCAGATGTTGTTAGTATTACAAGCCCCATCAGCCCCATCAATGGCCAGAGATGGTGAGAGTTGAAGGCCAACAACAACAGGAGGGCCCCAAGTTCCCCAATCTCTGGCCTAGTAAAAAGGGATGCGATTCTCAGGCTCAAAGTTCTGGGTGCGCCCTCTTGCAACATAATCAACATTTCACAGGGTTGAAGTGAGAGTAAAGGAGATGAGAATTGGAATTGTACACTGCAAATCCTACAGAAATTACCTTCAGAATAGTTCTCAGTGGTTTCTTGCATGTTGGAGACAAAATTTAGCAACTGCTCTACAGGTCTACAAACAGCATTTTGCAAGTTTCCTAGAACTATCCCCATAAAAAATGCTGTATCAGGCTACAAGAATGAAAATATATGCCCATTTGTTTAGTGCATTTGGTACCGATAAGTGTTCAGTAATATTGTTTGGAAATGTCACACAACACAGCAAACCAGGCAAAATTACCTTATCTCTGAATACTTAAAAAACTGTGCCAAAGTTGCATTAGGGCAGACAGTGTCATCTCCGCTTTTGTTTGTTTCAAGAAATGCTTAAAACAAGGGAAAGGTATATTTTTAAAATTACTAAGGGAGAAAGGGAGCTTCATTCAACGTCAACAATTCCCATGAACTTTGTTTATAATTATGACATTCCTCTAAATTAAATGCCATACCAGACCATAGGGAATGAATTTCAGCTTAACTAGCATGATCACGATGCTTGTTGTCAATCACTTAATGCTTTTATTATTTATTGTTTTTCTATCTCTACCGTCTTTCTGCCAAGACATCTATAACATGCTTTAGGACATGATTTTAATGTTATATGTCACTTTTGGCATTTTTAAAATAGAAAAGCAATTAAGAAACTTCAAATAAAAGTTTAATACAGTACAGTGGAACATTCTATTAAATAGGCTTCTTTTTCAGGGGCTTGTGTAACTCCAAAATATTATTATATTGCTGAAAGGCATTGTTTAGGTACCTCCCTTTGTCCAGCTCCAGGGCTATTCAGAGGATATTCACCCTGCAAGATTTTTATGAATTTTGAGATTAGGACAGGGAGATCCCATCTTAAAATAAAACAAATAAAATATGGAGTGGGAGTTGGGGCGATGCATAAGCTTCAAACCCACTCCTTATTTCACAGCACATGCAAATTCTGGTAAATGATAACTATATGAGCAGACATTCATTCTCTGAAGTCCGGATTAGAAAGAATTAGTCACTCACTGTGTTACCTGCTCCTTTCCACTTTTTAGAAGGATGCAAAGCACTCTAGAAATTGGGACCATATTGCCTGAAATATTTTTATCATTTCCTTTTCTTCCAGCTAAAGGCCAACAGTTCGACCTGCCATATTTCAGGGATAGGGTGGGGTTATTATCTTCCATTTGTAATAAAACTACCTTGACAACCAACATTTCCCTGCAAACCCCTGGCTTCACTCTAGCAAAGGCAAATCAACTAGCAAAAGAACCCTCCGTTAGACTTAAAGTAACCATGTTCCTGGTCTTACCTCCATTATAGGATTGGAAGCCAATACTCTCTCTTCGACATTAGCTTCACTTGCAGACCCGCTTACAGTGGCAAAATATCTCATAGCATATTTAGCAGAGACTGTTTTTCCAGCTCCAGATTCTCCACTTACAATAATTGACTGGTTCCGTTCATCTCTGAAATGGAAACAAATCAGTTTCAGTTGTATTAATGTTCATCCATCTTGACTCGGACGTGCATATTGTGTTTGGTACAATGTGCAAAGAAGACACAATCTAAGAAAGTAGAAGCCTAAAAATTGTATAAATGTTACTTCAAAGGAGAAGAGCTTGTTTACATACATACATACATACATACATACATATGTACAGGTGTGTTTCATATGGAACTTAGAATAGCGATATTTTGCATTCAAAAGTTCCTTATACAAAGCATCAAAACATTTCACCAAAGAAAGCAAATCAGTAACTCAGTTGTATGAATCTACAAGAAATGCAGGCGTAGAGCTTTTTTCCTATTCAAGACATGAGGCTATGCAAGAAAGAATACTTTTGTATTCTAATCTTTGAACAAAATATGTATTTCAACATTAAAACAAAAAGCTGCATTCCAACTGCCCTCAATATCCTAGATATCAGGGGGTTCTCAAACTCCCCGGGGTCCACTTGAAGAGGGCTGAAAATTACTGAGGACCACTGGTCATAAAATGACTGTCAAAGAATGGCAACAGATGGAGGCAGAGTTTGGCATAATCAGTTGGCAAACACTGACATCTGCCTTTGGAAATTGCTTCTTTATCCTCTCCCTCAGCTCATCATGCCCCCTTTGACGCCATCTTTCTCTTTCTCTTTACATTCCCTCACACTTGGCTGCACACTCAGACCATTTCCTTTCTTTCCTTCTCTCTTTTCCCTCTCCTCCTCTTCAACTTAGCATGCAACATCCTTGCTTCCACTTCCATGTAGACAGAAGACTCCATGGCATTTGAGGCTGGCATAGCCCAGTCAGTAGATCATGAGATTCCAGATCTCGGGGTTGTGGGTTCGAACCCCACATTGGGCAAAAAAAATTCCTGCATTGCAAGGGGTTGGAGTAGATGACTCTTGTGCAGTGTTCAAAACTCCCACTGTTCTAGGTGCATTTTGCGAACAGGAATTTCATTAGCGCAAGCAGTTTCTGAGCTCTGGGCGCAATACTGCGCATAAGTTTTCAAATTAAAACTGCAGAGTGGAAGGGCAGGGGGACCTTTTTCTGCCTCCCCACTTCCAGCTACTCTCTGAAGACTGGAAAAGAGACCCTCTTAAGAATATTGGGGGTGGGGTGGGCAGGTGAAGGACTAGACCATGTAAAAAATGAACATAATATTTTAGCTGCAGGTCATTCATTTTCAGCTCTGTATACTTGTTATAAAAAAGCGTGCCTAGACATTCCGTTGTTGCACCTATAACCTAGGTTTAAGGTGCCATTTAGCTCCTAGCTTTCATATCTCTGTTTTTAACACTGCCCTTGTGGTCCCTTTCAAGTCTTCAATTCTGTTATTCCATGGGTGAGGGATGGAATGCAGTGTGGAAGCCCATCTGAAAGGGAACCAAGGGGCTATTAACTCAACAGTCTGAGAAAACGCTGCACCAGATGGGTTTTTTCCTTCTCATTCTGATTACTATTAAGCAACTAAAATCGGAGAATTGGAAGAGACCCAAGGGTCATCTAGTTCAACCCCCCTACAATACAGGAATCTCAGCACGTGGTCAGTCTCCCGTCCAATTTGAACCATACCAGATGTAAAACTGTGCTAGCAGTTTAACTGCTGCACCACTAGGAGGGGCCAATGGGAGAGTCTCCCACATGTAGAAATAATCCACGCAACTTATTTTCCAGTGTGACAATTAGATATATGCACTGCCAGGCCAGGATCAATGGGAGAAAGCAAACAACACCTTGACTTGATGATACTCTTTTCCCAGCTGCAGAGACTGCCACCACAAAAATTCTGTCTCCCCTCCATCATGGAAAGAAGGAAGGGAAGGGATGAGCTTTAGAAAGTCCCTGATCTGACTCAAGAATCTTGTGTTTGTTTAGTCGTGTCCAACTCTTCGTGAGCCCATGGACCAGAGCACGTCAGGCACTCCTGTCTTCCACTGCCTCCCGCAGTTTGGTCAAACTCATGCTGGTAGCTTCAAGAACACTGTCCAACCATCTCATCATCTGTCGTCCCCTTCTCCTTCTGCCCTCCATCTTTCCCAACATCAGGGTCTTTTCCAGGGAGTCTTCTCTTCTCATGAGGTGGCCAAAGTATTGGAGCCTCAGCTTCAGGATCTGTCCAGTGAGCACCCAGGGCTGATTTCCTTAAGAATGGATAGGTTTGATCTTCTTGCAGTCCATGGGACTCTCAAGAGTCTCCTCCAGCACCATAATTCAAAAGCATCAATTCTTCGGCAATCAGCCCTTCTTTATGGTCCAGCTTTCACTTCCATACATCACTACTGGGAAAACCATAGCTTTTACTATACGGACCTTTGTTGGCAAGGTGACGTCTCTACTTTTTAAGATGCTGTCTAGGTTTGTCATTGCTTTTCTCCCAAGAAGCAGGCGTCTTTTAATTTCGTGGCTGCTGTTTTACCAGAGAGTAACTGATTGGTGGTAGCAGGGAAGCGATCACAGTGGTGGCACAGGGATCAATAGACAGTTAAACGTCCGGGCACCCTGTGTGATCGCCACAGGGAGCCAAAACATTCGAGAACTAAGCTGTTTGAAAACCAAGGTACGACAGTATTCTCTCCTGAGTTTTGCAGCAATTGGTAATAACAAGCACTGAAAACTGTACGTTAAACATTTAAGTATAGAATGGGCAGTGAGCTCTTCAGACCACTGAGTAGTAGATGGTGGGTATTTTTTTCTTTCCACTTGTGCAGTATATGTCTCTTTGCAGCCTATACGGGCTCACAGGGTCCACTTGAACTTGAACTGTCCAATAAATGAATAAATTGTGGTGCAAGAGTTATAGAATTCCCTCCTAAACACTTCTCGCCTCTTTTGTTTGTTCATTTTTTTTGCATATATTGCTTTATTGTACATCCCTTCTTTGAACTGTTGTTGTTGTTGTTGTTGTTGTTGTTGTTGTTGTTGTTTTTGTTGTTGTTGTTGCTGCTGCTGCTGCTGCTGTTGCTGCTGCTGCTGCTATGACTCCCTGTTTGTGGAATGCTCACCCTAGGCAGCATCGCCTGGTGCCTTCATTATATATATTTTAGGCACCAGGCTGATTAATATTCTACAGCCTTTTAAATGGGTCTGGGGGAGGGCTTATGGTTTTGCTATCCTGTTTTTAATTATTGACATGTTTTTATCCTGTATTTTATTCTGTGAACTGCCCTGATGTCTTATGACGAAGAGCAGTTAATAAATCTAATAAAATAATGAATGAGGCGGTAGGATTCTGGGTTGAGCCAGTTCAGACTTGCAGGAAAGGGGAGTCACAGTTTTGAATGCTATAGGAAGCTGCCTTATACAGAGTCAAAGCTTTGGTCCATCTAGTTCAGTATTGTCAACACTGACTGGCAGCAGCTATCCTTCCCAGACCTACCAGGAGAAGTTGAGGATTTAACCTGGGACTTGTTACATGCAAAGCCATGTTCTTTTACATTGAGTTACAGCCCTACCTCAGAACGTTGTTTTGAATAAAATGTTCCCTGCATATAGTAGCCTAGTGAATTAAACTAAGCCATCTGTGCCCAATTCTGGGCACCACAATTTAGGAAGGATGTTGACAAGCTGGAAGGTGTACAGAGGAGGGCAACCAAGATGATCAAGGGTCTGGAAACCATGCCTTATGAGGAACAGTTGAAGGAGCTGGGTATGTTTAGCCTGATAAAGAGGCGACTGAGA